GGAGGCCTCCAGACAGGCTCTGGGATCGCCGGGGAAGCTCGCAGGGCGCTCCTGGGGACGCCCAGGAGGGTGCCAAGGGGGCGGGAATTCTCACAAGAACTTCACCAAAAACGCTGCTGGGTCGGACGTGCTGTCGTGTCATTTTTTTTTTTTTTTGACACGACGTGCTGTCGTGTCAAATTGGAGGCCCTCGAAGGCACCTCTGGGCTCTTGACTGGGCGGCCAAAGAGGTTCCAAGATCGCCGGGGAGGCTCGCAGTGCGCCGCCAGGGTGGCCCAAGAGGGCTCCAAGAAGGGCGGGGCTACCAACTCCGGGAAGGCTGGCAACGAACCCTGGCACGCGCGCGCGCGCAAACCCCGGAAAAGCCAGCCACGCGAGCCCGGGGAGCCCGAGCCAACACCCGCGGGAACAAGAGGAACGCCATCCCTGGAAACCAAAGCGCAACCTCCGAAACCCCGAAGGCAGCCCCCCTCCTCCTCCTCCTCCGCCTCCTCCTCCTCCTCCTCCTCGTCATCATCATCATCATCATCATCATCATCATCATCATCATCATCATCATCATCATCATCATCATCATCATCATCATCATCATCATCATTTCCATCATCATAATTTCCATCATCATCATCATCAACAGCATCATCATCATCATCATCATCACCATCATCATCATCACCATCATCGTCATCATCAGCATCATCATCATCAGCATCAGTATCAGCATCAGCATCATCATCATCATCATCATCATCATGAGCATCATCATCATCATCATCATCACCATCATCATCGTCATCATCATCATCATCACTCTCATCGCAAGCGTCGTTATACATATCTTTCATCGTCGCCATCACTATCACCACCATCATGGTCCTTATCACCATCTCCAGCATAACTCACCGGCCCAAGGGCGTGCTAAGATCTCGGGTAACTGGTTAACAATACCTATACGACCACCCTTCGGGTGATAAGGAGGTGAGGGGGGGAGGGACCAACGTCGCACTCGATCGATCTCACTATCGAACTCACTACCGATCTCACAATCGATCTCAATCGATCGATCTCAGAATCGATCTGACTATCGATCTCGCAATCAATCTCACAATCGATCTCACATTCGGTCTCGCTATCGATATCAGAATCGATATCACAATCGATCTCACATTCGATCTGAATATCGATCTCACTACCGAACTCACTTTGGATCTCATTATCGATCATACATTCGGTCTCACTACCGATCTCCCTATCGATATCACAACCGATCTCACAATCGATCTCACATTCGGTCTCACCATCGATCTCACTATCGAACTCACTATCGATCTCATTATCAATCTCAACCGATCGATCTCACAATCGATCTGACTATCAATCTCACAATCGATCTCACAATAGATCCCACAATCGATCTCACATTCGGTCTCACTGTCGATCTCACGATCGATATCACAACCGATCTCACAATCGATCTCCCATTGGGTCTCACAATCGATCTCTTACCGATACCACTATCGATCTCACAATCGATCTCACCATCGCTATGACACTCGGTCTCACGCTCGATCTCATCATCGATATCACTATCGATCTCACTATCGATCTCACATTCGGTCTCACTGTCGCTGTCACGATCGATATCACAACCGATCTCACTATCGATCTCACTATCGATAATCAAAATAAAGCGCCAACATCATCATCACCATCATCAACAACATCAACATCAACATCAACATCAACATCAACAACATCATCATCATCATCATCATCTTCATCATCATCATCACCATCATCACCACCATCACCACCATCATCATCATCATCATCATCATCATCATCATCATCATCGTCATCATCGGGACACCGACGGGACACCGACGGGACACCAGCGGGACACCGGCGGGACACCGCGGGGCCCCGGCCGCCCGGAAGGGAGACATTTGATCCGGCCGCGCCTCAGCCACACGGGACACCAGCGGGACACCGGCGGGACACCGCGGGGCCCCGGCCGCCCGGAAGGGAGACATTTGATCCGGCCGCGCCTCAGCCACACGGGACACCAGCGGGACACCGGCGGGACACCGCGGGGCCCCGGCCGCCCGGAAGGGAGACATTTGATCCGGCCGGGCCTCAGCCACAGGAGACTTTCTCTCGCCCGCCCACGCAGCTTCGTCTCGCCCGCACGGCACGCACAGCACGCACGAACACGAAACCGAAATCGATTTCCCGGTAGGGGGGCTCTCCGTTCCACTTCGATCTCACCCCCTCACCTCCGATTCTAGTTCGCGCGCGCGGGGCCGCCCCTGGGGGTCCCCGGACGAAAAGTACCCCAGGAGACCCCCGGGAGACCCCCGGGACACCCCTGGGGCACCCCCGGGACACTCGGATCAGAGATGCCAGACCGGGCAATTTTTCGACACCGCTCACGAGGATCGTGGCCTCCTAGGGGAGGGGCGCAATCGACTACCCCCCTCCTGACCCAAGAGGTCCCCAAGAGCCCCCCAAGAGGCTGCAGGGGCCCACAAGACGCCGCCAAGGACCCCCAAGAGGCTCCCAAGAGGCCCCCAAGAGGCCTTCAAAGGGTCCCAAAAATACCCCCAAGAGGCCCCAAAGATCGCTGCAGGGCCAGTTCAGCTCATTCTTGGCGATGACAAATGCACTCCTGGAGGATCGCCACGAATCGACACGAAGCTGTTCCACGGGGGCCGCTTCAACACAAACATGCCTCAGAAAGAAAAAGCCGCCGGCCCCTGCAGCTCCGCACTGCCGACGACCTCTCAGCCGGTCGACCGCGGTGCGCTATATGGGCCGGCGGAATGAGCGAAGTGATTGAATAATCACAGTGACAATCATCATCAACATCTCCATCATCATCACCACCATCACCATCACCATCACCATCATCACCATCAACATCGTCATCATGAGCATCAACATCAACATCAGCATCTTCATCATCCTACTCATCACCGTCGTGATCATTGTCTTCATCAGCATCATGATCATCAACATCATCATCATCATCATTCTCATCATCATCCGAATTATCCTCCTCGTGATCATCGCCTTGATTATCATCATTACGATCACCAACATCATCATCGCAATCATCTTGATCATCACCATCCACGTCAATCTAATCATCAGCACCACCGCCATCATCATCAGAGTCTTAATCATTGCCATCGCAATCGTCATCATCATCACCATCACCATCACAATCATTCTAATCAACAATCACCATCACCATCATCATCATCACAATCAGCATCACACTTAGCATCGTCATCATCATCACCACCATCATCCTCACAATCATCTCTATTATCATCACCATCAACATCATCATCATAATCCTCATCACCACCACCAGTCTTCAACATCGTCATCGCAATTGTCATCATCATCATCATCAAAATCACCGTCACCATTATCCTTATCATCACAACCATCATCATCATCATCATCATCATTGGTACCATCATCATCACCACCATCATCACCAACATCACCAGAGTTTTCATTATCATCGGCATCCTCCGCATGATCATCAGCATCAGCATCACTATCATCATAGTTAGAATCATCAGCATCCTCATCATCATCATCATCAACACCCGAATCATGATCATCACCATCAGCATCATCATAGTTTGTATCATCAGCATCGTCAACATCGTCATCATCACCATCATCTCTATCATCACCATCAACATCATCATAGTCTTCATCACCACTACCAGCATCATCACAGTCTTCATCATCCACGGAGCAATCGTAACCTTCATTATCATCACAATCATCATCACCATCACCATCAGCGTGATCACCATCATCATCATCACAACCATCAGCATCATCAACATCATCATGATCGTCATCCCTGTCATCATCTTCACAACGAATATCATCTCTATCGGCACCATCATCATAGTCCTCATCACCACAATGAGCATCATCACAGCCGTCAACATCTTCATCGCAATCGTCATCATCATTATCACGATCATCATCACCACAATCATCATCACCATCGTCATTAGCATCATCATCATCATCGTCATCATCCTCATCATGGTCATCACCATCAGCATCACCACCATCACCAACATCATCATCAGCATCATCATCATCACCATCATCATCCTCATTAGCATGATGATCACCATCCTCATCATCTCAGTGATCCCTATCATTGCCATCAACATCATCACAATCCTCATCACCACCACCACCGGCATCATCGCAGTTTCCATCATCATCGCAATCGTCAATATCATCACCATCACCATCATCATCACCATCGACATCACCAGCACCATCATCAGCATCATCATTAGCATCATCATCATCAGTATCATCATCATTATCCCCATCATCACAATCATCTTGAGCATCGCCATCACCATCGTAATCCTCACCACCACCATCAGCAAAATGACAATCTCGATCATCGTCATCGCAAACGTCATCATCATCACCATCACCGTCACCATCATCATCATCATTATCATCATCACCATCACCGCCATCGTCACCTTCACCATGATGACCATCATCAGCACGATTTTGATGTTCAGCATCAACAACATCATTCGCATCATCATCACCACCATCACCATCGTCGCAATCATCTTCATCATCACCATAAACATCACCATTCTCCTGATTACCACCACCAGCCTCATCACAGTCTCTGTCATCGCCATCGCAATCGTCATCGTCAGTATCATCTACGGTATGTCCGATTCTCAGCTTGAGTAAGATATGGCAATGGTAACAATAAACGTCACGGCATGCATATCCGAAAGCTACCCGATCAGCCCTCCTCGCCGCCGCGTCGAGCTCCCTCGAGGCTCGACCCAGGCGACCTCCGGGTGGCTCCAGCGAAGCTGAAATGAAAAACTCGCACGCCTCGCCACATGCCACCGCACAGAAACATGCCTGCGTTCACGAAAACACAGTCGCCTGCCACGGGCGACATCAAACGAAAGTCACGCCTGCACCTCTTCTTTGCCCTCGGGCTCGCAAGCTGGGTCAGGCTCAAGCAAGTTGCCTGCGACCGCGAGAGAGAGGTCAGACTTGCCCGCAGCCACGAAAAATCCCAACAGTCCCAGCATCTCATCCAGCTCCTTTTGCGCCAGATGCTTCGTGCCGAGATCTGCCACATTGACTTTACCGGGCGTCTTGGAAAGGATGACTCGACGCTCGGTTACATGACGCTGGAGCCAGAGAGTCTCTGTCTCGATGTGTCGGATGCGCCCTGCCCCTCGGCGGTGCGCGATCCCACTGGCGGCCGTAGCGTCGCCGGCCAAATCTAGCTCCAGCTCGTATCCCATGTCACGCGCCAACGAGACTAGGCCGATCCCGCAGGATGCGGTGTGCACTAAAGCGTACCACTCGGCCTCACCTGAGCTGAGAGCCTCACTGCCTTGGGTCGCACTGAAGACCCGAATCATGTGACCTCCCAGCTGGAAGACTCCACAGCTCGTGCTCTTCCTGGTCTCCAGGCAGCCGGCGAAGTCACTGTCCGAGAAGCCCTTGAGCACACCTGACCATCGTTGGCGTCGGGACCTCTGAACCAGCCTAGGACGACCCAGGAGATACCTGGCAATCCTCTTGACTAGCTCCATGCCGTGCTCGCACGGCTCGTGCATGCACTTCGCTGCTTCCTTGACTGCGTACTTGATGTCCGGGCGGTCCTCGCTGAGATAGCTGGCTCGCATGACTAGGCTGCGGTAGCGAGTCGCTTCCTCGCCCTCCAGGACCCTGCCACGGTCCACGCTCTTGGCCTTCACTCCTGGCGTCGAGAGGGCCTTTGACCCGCGCCAGAGGTTCAGCTGCTGCATCATGATGAACGCGTGGCGGGAGTCAGCCTCGAGCTCCACGTCACCTCTCGAGGTCCAGCGGAAGACGCGGTTCAGGCAGACCACCTCCTGAACATCACCAGCACTCTTGTTGGGCCCCAACATGCCCTCGAGCTTGACCCACATGTACTTCTGCAGCTCGCGGTAGAACTCCAGGTTGTCGGTGCGGGGGCCCTTCAGCGCGAAGTTGTCGCCGTAAACGTAGGCCGCGAGCTTGCCGTCGCCTCTGCGGTATATGCAGGGGCACCACGCGCCACAGGAGAAGCCCATCTTGCCCTCCAGCGTCTCACGGACCAACAGCTCGAAGTTCTGGCCCGCGCCGCGACAACCGTAGAGGCACCTGACCAGCAGCCCACACACGCCGGGGTCAGCTGAGCGAGGGTCCTCCGCGGGAAGCTTCACCCACAGCTTCCGCTTCATCTCGCAGTGCGGGTGGGCCCTAGTGATGTCCAGGAACATGAGGACATGCTGGTCTTCCTCGGCGTTCCTGGGCGAGCAGCAGAAGGAAACCAACATCCTGAGAGCCTCATGCGGGGGTGTCGCACTGAACGTCTGCGATGGGCCCCCCAGGTCCATGCTCGTGCGGTAGCGTGTCTCCGCCACGCACAGCCTGCAGCGGACGTTGGGCTTGCGGTCGTCACCCTTGTTGACGTCCAGCCAGATCATGGGCGCCGGGTCGCGCCCGGCCCTCGCGGCAGCGCTGCTTGGTGTCGTGCGCGTAGGCGCCCAGGCCGCGGAGGAACTCCATCTCCTCCTTGCGGCCAGCTGCCACGAGCTCGGGGTCCAAAGCGGCCCCGCTGATGTTGTCGACGATCTCCGTGTAGTACTCGGGGTAGGCGTCCCAGATCGGTGGCTCGCCCAGGTGCGGCCCGGCCTCCAGCGCACCCAGCTGGCCGCGGGCGATCGCCTCACGACGCAGCCCACGCAGCACCGCAGCTACAAGCTTTGGCGGGTGCCGCTCGATGATGCGCATGCCACGCCGACCTAGGCCGACCGTCTGGCAGTGCCTAGCACACCCAGGACACCGACGCGTCAGCTCTCGGGCTATCTCAGCGGAGTTGGTCAACCATCCCGTGGGCTTCCTGACCGGCGCCGGGCCGACAGCATCGGCGCACCACAACCCATGCGCACATTACATTGATCGCACTCTACGTAGTGTACTCCTGGCATCTCGGCGATCTCTCGGATCATCCAGAGACGCCAACTCCTCGATGATGCTGGCTGCTCGTGCAAGAAGAGGCGGCCAGCCTTGATCTGCTCTTTGTAACGCTCGGCACAGAAGACCAGGTGGACAACGCCTCGCTCCATGATGGCGTTGACGTCCACACCTTGGATGAGCTTGAGGGCCTGCAGGTTCGACCACGGCGCACGCATCGGGCTGCCAGTGATCAGCAGTGGCTGCTCCAGCTCGATGGTGGCCTGCGCCCGCTGCCTGTCGCCCTCCTGGCTGAAGTCGTAACTGGTCCTGATGTCGTAGGCTGCGCCGGGCTCGAGGTCGAACGCACTCGACCGAGATGTGAACCGCACTGGTCCGTAGAGCTCGCTGACGGCCACCCTCCAGTCGCCGAAAGCTGCCAGCAGCGCGCAGAGCTCCAGGGAGTCCGCGTCCATGGGACCCCAGCTCCAGGCGGCGCCTGGAGGAGCCCGCTCGGCCCAGCAGCCTGCGCCTGAGGCGTGGCTGGCGCCTGGGCGGGCGTCCTCGGCTGCTCGCCGCTGATCGCTGGCGCGAGGGGTGCTGGACCGCCTGGCGCCGCGAGGCGGCGCCTCGATGCCTGCGGCAACTCCGCGGGCGAGCCTCGACGCTCAGCAGCTCGTCGGCCAGGTCGCTCGATCTCCATCGGCGCCTCAGCCGGGCTGGCTGCTTGAGGCAGTGCTCCAGAGCTCGCGCCCTCCTGGCGCGCAGGCGCCCTGTCAGCAGCCTCCAGTTGGCGAGCCGCCGCTCCAAAGACTCGGGGGGCAAGCTCCGGGTCGTTCGCCATGGCCTGCTGGATGCGCTCACGGCGCTCCGAGCTGCGGGCCTTGGCTGATGCGTTGGTGCGGGCCGCGGGGCAGCCCGGGCGCCCGTCTGTGAAGCCGTACTTGGCCAGCTCCACGTTCCTGCGAATGTATGCGTTCCGAGGTTCAGCTGGGACCTGCTCTGGCACAACCCTCGGCTGCTGTGCAGCTGGGTCGACAGGAGGCTCGTCAATGACCGTCGAGATGCGAACGTTCTCTGGCTTGTCCGGGGTCGGCATCCATGGCGCGCCCCTGATCGAAAGCAACGGGGCTGCATCAGCCCGCTGACTCGGCGGCCTCCTCCTGATAGACCGCGCGCGTACGACCCTGCCGTCGTAGCCGACGAGCATCTCGCTCGACTTCTCGATGACGCCCAGGAAGACTCCGATCTTCCAGCGCTCCACGAACTTGGTGTCGCGCCTCGCACTCGGGGGGGGCGCGATGATCTCACCGAAAGGCGGGAGCACCTTGCGGAAGGCCTTGCCCTTGTGCCTCTCGCGCGGCGTCCGTCCATCGGCGCCGATCACGCCACGATTGATACACCCCGCAGCGTGAGCAACCAGCCAGGTCAGCACTGGATGGTCGTTCGGGATGTCAGTGCCGTGCAGCAGGGGCAGGGCGACTCGCAGAGACCGTGACACGCCCTTGACCTCCCTCACTGCTACCTCGGCCAGGCCGTTGCTGGCGCTGTCGTAGGCCGGCGCCTCCTCGGGCACGACCTCGATCTTCAGATTCCTGAGGCGAATCGTCGCCTCTCGCTGGAGCGCCACCAAGGCACCCTCACCATCGGACTTGTAGATGATCTTCGGGTGGCCGGTCGCCTCCACCTGGCAGAAGGCGCGGGCCACGTTGCACTCATGCTGGATGCCCTTGGACGGGGGGACGTCGGCGCTGACCCGCGAGGTGGCTGAGTCAATGCCGACGAGGATGGGGAGCACGGACTGGCCCGATTCCACCTCCTCCCGCTTCACGAGGTATCCGTAATCAACTGCAAACGTAGGTATGGCGTGCGCTCTCCCAGGAGCGCCCGCTGGGTGACCATCGGCGCGGCCACGCCCAGCCAAGCAGCAGAAGCGCCAGTCTCTGAAGGGTACGTGACCTGCTGCTTCGTGTTGCTCGATCTCAGCCTGGGTCGGCTCCTTCGGCCCCCGTCGTGCTCGCACTGGAGCGGGCTGAGATTCGCGGCGCTCCTCGGCGTCACCCTCGAGCTCGATCGCACTTCCAACTCCGTCGTCCCCTGCCGCGGCAGCTCCACCTGGCGGGACAGGATCACCTGCGGCAGCGCCGAGGTGACTCTCGATGGTCGCAACTTGTCCATCATCAACTCCATGAGGTACCACTCCTGTCTCAGAAGCGACGCCATGCAGCGCAGGAGATCCCACTGCTGGCGGCATCATGTCTGGTCTTACGGCAGCGCCTGCCGCCCGAAAAGGCACAAGCGCTTCTTGTCCTGCGGCTGGCTGCAGCCACGGCAACCCTCGACCGAGCAGAGCGGCAGCTCCCTCACGAAGGTCTGGGACATCTGGCTCACCTCCTTCGCTGGCACGATGCTCGCGTCCAGGTCCCAGGTGCGCTGCCTCCGCGTGAAGCGGACGGTCTTGCCACTCTCGATGTGGACCGCGTGGCCGATGTCGTTCCCGTGCTGGTCCTGCTCGAAGACCACGCGGCGGCCGCTCTTCACGAGGTCGAAGACCGAGAGCAGCGGCCGCCTGACGCCCGTGACACGGGCCCTGATACCCCGTAGCGCACCACCAGTCTGCACCATGAGCTTGCGCTGACCCTCATCTTGGATCGGCTCGCCCGTCGCGCAGAGGTACTGCGCCCCCGACGGCTTCTCCGTGATCGGGTAGTCGGCCCCCAGCGCGCGCGGGATCGCTGTGACCGCCGCGCCTGAGTCGACCCCGAAGCGCACCGTCTCACAGCTCGAGGACATGGCCGACAGGTCGAGCGCCGCCAGGAAGAGGCCACCCAAGCCCTCAGGAGGCTCAGGCTCGCCCATCTCGCCCAGGGCGCCAGACTTCTTGGCGACCGGGCAGTCCTTGGCTAGATGCGCTGTCGAACCACAAGTCCAGCATGGCCTCGGCTTCGGTCCGCCACCACCCTTGGCTTCACCCTTGCCTTTGCCACGACCTCGACCTCCACCGCCCTTCGGCGGTGCCTTGCCTGACGCAGCCGTCGTATTCCACCAGCAGTCTCGCTTCCAGTGACCTGTCTCACCACAGATCGGGCACGGCTTGGTAGGCAGGTCGTCGGAGCCCTTGCCTTTGCCGGCCTTGCCGCTCCTGCCCTTGCCGTTGCCGCCCTTGCCGTTCTTGCCACCCTTGCAGCCAAGAGCGGCCAGCTGCCGCGCCAGAGAGTCGATGTCCATCGGGGTCGGGCCTGTGCCAGTACTCGCCGTCGTCGCAATCTGGGCCCGCCTGAGGTTCTCGACCTCGGCCTTCACGAGCTCCCAGGTGTTCAGCCGCTGGCTGTTGAGAAGCAGGTGGTGACGCAGCGGGCCCTCCTTGAGCGAGCGGACCAGGATGCCTATCTTGATCTCATCGGGGAACTCTGCACCCACAGCCTGCTCGTAGCGCTTGACATTCCTGTCGAACGCGATCAGCTTCGAGGGGACGTCACCTTCGAAGTCCCACGAGAGTAGCTCCTGAAGGAGCCCTGCTGCCCGAGTGCGGCTCTGAGGCTCGTGGAAGGTGACCAGAGTTCTCCACGCCTCCAGCCCCTCGTTCACTCCTGCACTGACAATGCGGTCTAACGAGAGGCCTTTGTTCAGCATGACCAACATATAGTAGAGCTGGCTGCTGAGGCGCACTTGGTCGTCGGGCAGCGTTGCATTCAGCACTGGCGTGTCGGCATGCTCAGCCCTGTCCATGGCGCCCTTCAGGGCTGGCTCGCACGCGCTGGCATAGGCTCGGAAAATCGTACTCCAGTCGCGCCAGGTCCCAGGCTCGCCATTGAAGTCACTAGGCTTGCCGAGGACCCGTGTGTCAATCAATATGTTTGTCTCCTGCGGCGGGCCACCAGGCTGGGCTGCTGCTCGCTGCTGCTCTTGACCTCGGGCCTCCTGAGCCATAGCCTCTGCCGCCTGCACTCTGGCCTCGGCGGACTCCGCCTGGGCCGCCAGCCGCTGGATGACTTGCTGCTGCTGCTGCTGCTGCGCCTGGGCGAGTGCCTGCTCGAGCTGCGCGAATCTGGCCTCGTCGATGCTGATCGTTGACCTCGCGGCCGCGAGCCTTGATGGCCTTGAGAGCCTCGCCCTCGCAGTGCCACCTGGTGCGGCGCCTCGCCAGTCGCAGCAGCTCCGTCACGATGATCGCCCAGCTCTCGAGCGGCGATCCGCTGACCAGCTTCCAACCAGTCTCGTCTGCGGCCTCTGTGGCCGTGTCGGCGTCCGTCGCAGACGCTGCGGAGAAATGCACAGCGGTATCGCAGGCAGGCCGACCAACCTCGCTCCGCGCTACCATGATATACGGTATGTCCGCTTCTCAGCTTGAATAACATATGGCAATGGTACAAATAAACGTCACGGCATGCATATCCGAGAGCTACCAGATCACATTAGCATCACCATCATCAGCATCATCATCATCACCATAACAACCATCATCACCATCATCATTCGCATCACTAGCATCATCATCATCACCAGCATCATCATCGCAATCACCCCTATCGTCACCGTCAGCATCATCATCATAATCTTCATCACCACCACCAGCATCATCAGAGTCTTCATCATCGTTATCGCAATCGTCAGCATCATCATCATATCCATCACCGTCACCATCATCATGATCATCATCATCTGCATAACCGTAACCGCTATCATCATGACCATCATCATCAACATAATCGTCATCAGCATGATCATCACCATCATCATCACCCCACCACCATCATCACTATCATCATCAGCATCATCATCAATCGCGTCATCATCATCACCATGAGCATCAACGCAGTCCTCTCTATCATCACTATCAGCATCATCAGAATTCTCATCACCCCCACCAACATCATCAATCTTCATCATCGGCATCGCAAGTGTCATAACCGTCATCACCAACCTCACCATCACAGGCATCATCATAATCACCATCATCATCGTCACCATCATCATTCGCATGATCATCACCATCATCATCACAATAATATGTATCATCTCTGCCATCACCATCAACATCATCATCGTCCTCATAACCGCCACCAGCATCATCGCAATCTTCATCATCGTCATCGCAATTGTCATCATCATCACCATCACCGTCACCATCATCATCATCATCACCACCATCATCATCATCAACATTCGCATCATCATCATCATCATCACCACCATCATCGTCATCATCATCACCACCACTGCCACCACCACCGTCATCATTATCATCGTCATCATCATCATCAACATCATCGGCATCGTCATCCCCCCTTCTCCTGTATCCTCATCCTCCTTATCCTCCTTCCCCTCGCCACGTGGTAACGCACGTGGCGGATACATTATAATCGCGAATGGCCCAATCATCTGCAAGTGTGAGTGCTGCTGGGCAGGCGATGGGGAAGGAGGGGAAGCTCCCTGTGGGGCCACGACATGTGTGCGGAGTCTGCCAAAATGGTGGGGGACCCGCATGCGAACTGTGCCATCGGAGCCTTCGGTGGAGCCCCTTATGGGGCTGCCAATCGTGTTAGGGGAGTGCTGGGCTGGGCGAGAGAGCCGCATGCGAACTGGTCTGTGCCACTGAGGCACTCGGTGGAGCAGGATGGCGATAAACGGTGAGCTTGATGGTGACGATGATGACGATGATGGTGGTGATGATGATGACGATGATGCCGGTGGTAATGGTGCTGGTGATGGTGATAATGATGCTGCTTACGATGATGATGATGATGATGATGATGATGATGCTGATGCTGATGCTAATGCTGATGAAGATGAAGATGAAGATGAAGATGATGATGATGATGATGATGCTGCTGATGATGATGATGATGATGATGATGAGAGTGGGAGGAGGGGAAATGAAGGTGGAGGGGGAGTGCGGAGTGATACGCGCGGCGCTGTCTCTTCATAACGAGGACCCAACACCACAGGATGGTTGGGGAAAATGCGATTCCACTCTTCTAAACGCCACGTGGCACGGACTGGGGGCGAACAAGTGCAGCTCCACTCTACTGGTCACACGAGGAGGCGAGCGGGCGGTAACACGTCGCATCTTGCTCGGCCTTTCATGTGGCAACTCGGGGGAGGGCCCAACAAACAATAGTCTTGTACACTCACAGCGCGCGACGGACACGGCGACGACGACGACGACGGCAAAGACCAAGGGGGCGGCGACGGTGACGACGATGGACGGCGACGAGGACGACGACGACGACGACGACCACCACACGACGACCAAGACCCCTTGGCACATCTCTCATCACCCCTCCCCCAACGTCACCTTCTAAGCACCTCGGACGCATCCCCACCATCTTCTGGGAAATCTTTCTGGCCAGACGCTCCCAGAACTTGGCGGGGAAGCGAAAAGCGGCTACTATTTCCATCATCCCTCTCCCTTTGGACCCCCTCCTGACAGAAGCCCTCGCCACATCCCCTCTTTCCGCCATTGAACTGTCGGGCTCCGCACAAGCCCCATCCCTCAGGAATTTTAAGGAAACCGGAGGGAACCATCAAGAACCCATCACAGTCCCGGACTCAGTCGGGTCGGTTTGAGATCCTTCGGGGTACATCGATGATCAACTCTGCCCTTCACATGGCAACGCCTGGGCGGCGAAACGAAATCCATTTTACTCGCCGCGTGCCAACGCAAGGCGGCGGAAAATCGACTACTATGCTCTAAATCGTCACGTGGCAACTCGCTGGGGGCGCAAACAAGCAACAATGCACTCGACCCTTCACTTGGCCAGGCCTGGGGGGGAAAAGGAATACCATTCTATCAGCCCGCCGCGCGGCAACGCAGAGCAGGTAACACGCTGTTTCACTCAACTCGCCGCACGGCAACGTAAGGCCGCAAAAAAAACAGAGCGCTGGGCTCGACACATCACTCGGCAAAGCCTCGGGGGGGCGAACAGACTCTGCTCTACTCTGCTCGCCGCGTGGCTTCGCACGGGGCGCAACCAATACTACTCGACACCGCTCGTCGCGTGGCAGTGCAGCGGGAAGGCGGAAACTACTGGTACGTTGCTCCGCCCGTCACGCGGCAACGCGGGCAAGCAAACCACACAATTTTCTTCTCTGCTCTCCACGCGCGCGACAGAAGGGAGGCGCCCCCTGCCTCCCGTCCGCTCCTTCTCCTCGCCCCTCCGAGCCTCCCTGAACGCGCCGCCCTCAGCGTCACCCTCCCCCCCGCGCCGAACTCTTCCCCCCCGTGTTCCGTGACGCCCGCCTGGCCAAGCACTCCCAGAACATGGCGGGGCATCGAAGATCGGCCCACACCTCCCTCGCCCTTCTTACTTTGGACCTCCCCAACCCGAAGGCCGCCCTCCCCGATTTCCGCCAGTACTGCGTCAAGTGCCGCAAAATCCTCATCCTTCACGGAGTTCGAGGGGCCCAATGTGAGCCCTCACGCGCAGGACATCCGATAGGCATCCTCCTGCATCCGTCGGGTATGCTTGGACTCCTCGGGACTTCATCGGATCGTCTACTACGCCCGTCAGGCGGCAACGGCCAGGGACAAGGATGCGCAAAGTACATAGGGCATCGTAGTCGCCGAGCGGAAACGCAGGGGAGCACAGTCGGGCCGCTGAAAGAAGGAACGCTAAACAAGGAACGAAGCCCCTTCTTGGCCCTGTAAGCGCCTTCGTGCCCCAGGAGGGCAAGAGGAACAGCACCGGAGGAACCTGAGGAGCATCGAGCCCCTTCCGAATCCAAATTGCTCCTTATCTCGACGGCACGACTGAAGGCCAAATCCGACACCACCTGCACTCTTCGCGCAGCAGCGCGGGAGGCCGCAGAGACAACGAGAACCGAGCTTCGCCCGCGTCGCGTGGCAGCGCCTGGGGGGGGGGGCACGGCACACGGGCCGGCTCTGCTCGCCGCGCGGCCTCGCGAAGTGCGGAAAGCAAGCCGACCTTCCGCTCTACGCGGCAGCGCAAGGCTGCGCCAGGCGTTGCTACATGGCGGGTAGAGCTAAATCTGATCCCTTTCGGTCCATAGGCGCCGCCACGCCACGAATCACATGAAATCCGCCGACCCTGTCGGCGTGTGGAATGGGTTGTTCTTCTCGTCCGTGCCTCCTTCCCTTTCCCACCTTCTCCGTCTCCTTCTCGTTCGTCTCCCCCTCCCCTTCCTTCTTCTCCTCCTCCTCCTCCTCCTCCTCCTCCTCCTCCTCCTCCTCCTCCTCCTCATTCATCTCTTCCTCCCGCGTAAAGTAAATTGACTCGAAAGGTTTCCCCTTCCCTTTGTTCCCTTCCCCGGCCCGGGAGGGGGGGTCCGGGGGGAAGCCCAGGGGGGGGTCCTGGGGAGGGTCCCGGGAGGCGTCATGGGGGGGTCCTGGGTCAGAATACCACCTCCCTCCTCCTCCTCCTCCTAAGCGTCTTTTGCCACCTTCTCCATCTCCTTTTCGTTTGTCTCCCCCTCCTCCTCCTCCTCCTCCTCCTCCACCTCCTCCTCCTCCTCCTCCTCCTCCCCCTCCTCCCCCTCCTCCCCCTCCTCCTCCTCCTCCTCCTCCTCCTCCTCCTCCTCCCTCCTCCTCCTCCTCCTCCTCCTCCTCCTCCTCCTCCTCCCTCCTCCTCCCTCCTCCCTCCTCCCTCCTCCCTCCTCCCTCCTCCTCCTCTCCTCCCTCCTCCCTCCTCCCTCCTCCCTCCTCCCTCCTCCCTCCTCCTCCCTCCTCCCTCCTCCCTCCCTCCTCCCTCCTCCCTCCTCCCTCCTCCCTCCTCCCTCCTCCCCTCCCTCCTCCCTCCTCCCTCCTCCCTCCTCCCTCCTCCCTCCTCCCTCCTCCTCCTCCTCCTCCTCCTCCTCCTCCTCCTCCTCCTTCTCCTCCTCCTCCTCCTCCTCCTCCTCCCCTCCGCCTCCGCCTCCGCCTCCTCCTCCTCCTCCTCCTCCTCCTCCTCCTCCTCCTCCCTTCCTCCTTCTCCTCCTCACACACTTCCTCCGCCTACCCTGTCACGTTGTCCTTTAGCTCCTTCCTGTGATCACACATCCCGTCGCCATCGACGGCCAAAAACTTCAGGGTCGGCGGCACTGGCCGTAAGGCCTTCACAATAGTACTCCCCCTAAAGCGTTGCCGCTTGGCGAGTAGAGCGGGGTTGTAGTTTTTCCAAGAAGACAAACGGTTCGCTACACGGCAGCACAAGACTGCGGAAACCAATGCAACGCAACTCTACCCGTCGCTCGGTAACGATTGGGGGGCGGTATTCTATCATACTCGCCGCGCGGCATCGCAGGAGGCGGGTCAAATGCGTGTCCACACCGCTCGGCGCGCGGCAGCGCATGTGGCGGACACCGCGCTATCCCGCCTGATCT